CATGAATCGAGGTGGACATGACCTCAAAACTACGAATTATGGTGAACACTTTACATTTTGTAATCCAGAAATGACGTCGGAAACGTGCGCCTGCTTCTTCTATGCAAATCGCCGGAATCATAGCAGAAAATAAATTTCTATATATAAAAAAAAAAAAATGTTCGCAATACCAAAATAAATAAATGTAAATGAATAAATGTATTTTTGTGATACAAATTAAACTTCTGACATTTTATTTCGAGTTAAAATTACAGGTACGGAGAATGGATAATATTTCCTTGACTGAGATATGTCGGCTACTTGCGAGTTGTTGCGCGGTCGTGACTTCAACCCCTATTATGGGAACGAATTAGAGCTCGCACTTAGCCGTGAGGTCGTTGGCGTGAGGCTCAAGATTTTGTCAATGGGCGTGCGCCTTCAGACTTGTGCATGTGTCCCTTTTATTCCGGTCAGGTAATAGACAGGTGCGCATGTTTGGGTAGCTCTTGCTTGAATCCCTTTTATGATATGTTTATGACCCGTTTGTAGAAAGGAGAGATCTTGAAAAAATTTACCAGTTAAACATTCTGGGGCGAAAAAAAAAGTCTGTTTGAAAATATTCGACATCTGAGAATCATTAACTTGTGGGATTTATTTTATTTGGGGTTCTTTTGATTTCTAAATTAGTTTTACAATCATAGGAAACGTTATTCCCCAACATGATCGGACATGTCCCTCTAAGGCAACCAGCTTTAGATGTTTTGGGTTTGCGACCTTTCTCACGTGCACAGCAACACCTGCTGAATATTAATTGCTGATAATGAGGAAAAGGATACGTGATCAATATTGTCACATGGAGATGTGGGGAAAGTGTGCGACCTTTCTCCCGTGTACAGCAACACCTGCTGAATATTAATTGCTGATAATGAGGCAAAAAGGTCACGTGATCAGTATTGTCACATGGTGGTGTGGGGTTGGGGGGGCAATTTAGTATACTCTTTATGGATATGATCGTGACATTTTTATGACATCTAAACCCCTTAAAATCAGATAATTTATGGATTATGTTAATTGTCCCAGAACCCGCATACATTAATGAAGAGGCGGGGGTCATTAATATGTTAATTAGTGAGAGGCGGGGGTCATTAATATGCTAATTAGTAAGGGGGCGGGGGCCATTAATATGCTAATTGTCCCAGAACCCGCGTTTCCATACTACTAGTTGGTACCTTAACTGGCTACTTGTCTATTACTAAACTAAATATTAAGGGACGAAAAGTAATTGTAAAGGGTTTTCTTAATTAATTCCCCGGGGGAGCATGGGACCAGCCGCATGTGAGATGGAAGTTTATACAATGCAATCATAAAACCGAACAACAAATTATTTATTTATTTATTTATTTATTTATTTATTTCACCAACAGTTGGTACCTTCACTGGCTACTTGTCTATTACTAAACTAAATACTAAGGGACGAAAAGTAATTGTAAAGGGTTTTCTTAATTAATTCCCCGGGGGAGCATGGGTCCAGCCGCATGTGAGATGGAAGTTTGTTCCAGTAGAACAAGGCTCTACACAGAGGCTCATTAAAAGCATAGTTAGCTCAATAGGCCGGTATAAAAAAAGGTTCAAATGACCTTAAAGACCTACCAGGTACGCAAAAGCCTAAGCTACTCAGCAATGCAGGGCAGTCTATTTTGGAGGACAGCAGGTCACAAATAAAAACTAGTGCGCTAGTTGTTCTACGATCTTGTAGGGAAGAAAGGAGCACAAGACGAGTAAGAGGGAACCGGGTCATTAAAGTTTAGAGAAAGAAGGGCAAAAGATAGGAATTTTTTTTGAACACGCTCAATACGATTGATGTGTGTAGTACCAGTCGGACTCCAGACAAACGAAGCATACTCCAATCTGGACCTAATGAACGAAGAAAATAGGCTTAGTTTCGTGTACGGATCTTTAAATTGCGTGGAATTTCGTTTTACAAATCCATACATAGCGTATGCCTTTGGAATTATGTAATTTATGTGATCAATGAAAGTAAATTTGGTATCAAACATAACTTCTAGGTCCAGTGATTAATTTCTTAAGGAAAGAACATGGGAACTAATGGAATACGAGCTTAGGACATTAATTAATCGTTTGCTGTACCTAACGTAGAAACATTTTGACACGTTCAGAGGCAACTTGTTACGAGAACACCAATTTCCTACCTTTTCAAGGTCATTTTGAAGAAGTTCACTATCGGAGATTGAATTCACAGACCTAAATATTTTAAGATCGTCCGCAAACAACAGGAATTCAGAATTTGTTATGCAATACCTTAAATCATTTATGAAGATGATGAATAGAAACGGACCCAATGCACTTCCCTGAGGAAGGCCAGAAGTAGCCACATACGGGCTTGAGAAAACACCAATGCACTCTACTTTATAAATCCGCCCATCTAAATAAGATTTAAACCAATTTAATATTGATGAATGAAATCCCAATTTCTGCAATTTTGCCAATAGAGCATTATGGGAGACTTTGTCAAATGCTTTGGCAAAGTCGGTGTAGACTACATCAACTTGATGATGACTGATGAACGAGTGGATGCAAAAAAGATTGAACGTAGCTAAGTTAGTGGTAGTTGACCTTCCAGGCATAAAACCATGTTGGTTAGGACTGATGATCCGACCAGCAAGAAAAGTTAGCTGCTTAGCTACAATTCGTTCAAACAAACGTTAAAATTCTTAGCCGCCGTATGACAGTCCAAATCAGTAACATCTAAGCACCCAATATTTAGCATCGTGGCAATGGCACTGAGTGAATCATCGTCATTCCACAGCGAGCTCGGTTCAAAGTTAGATGCAAAGTACTTAGCAAATAGAATAGCGACCCCAATATCTGAAGAAACTGAAAGACTTTCATATGACATATGGGAAGGAAAGTAGGAGTGCCAGAAGAAGTGCCAGAATGCTTTAGGATCGGTAGTTAGTTTACAGTCTATATCAGCAATATATTGGCTGTACAAGAATTTATTGAGGAACTCAAACTCACGCTTATGTTGTTTGTACCGATCAAAGTCAGCAGCATCACCGCTTTCTATGTAGCGCTTATAGAATTTTTTTCGGAGATTTTTGTATTTTTTTAGGCCTTTTGTGTACCATGGTAGTCTATAAGAACTTTGAATTCTAGTTTTAGCGTATCTGCCTATAATAGTAGAGAGAGAAGATATAAAAACTTCATAGGTTGTATTCACATCCGCATGCGAGAGGACTTCCGCCCATCTGATATTAGAAATATCACTACGGATAGAATCTAAACTGCTAGAATTAATATAGGTAAGAGGCAAGCGAGAATTATTTGGTGAGAAAATATAACAAGTAATTAAGATTAATAGGGGCTTGTGATGAGCATCACACGCAGCTAGAGGAATATTGCTGCAACATAAAGTAAGGCATAAATCAGGGTGTACAAAAATTAGATCTAGAAGCTTGTTTAAGTTATTAAATACATGGTCAATCTGGACTAATCCCATACTAAGAAGCTCATCGATGACTAAGATTTCGTGGGGAAGATGCAAATTACTGGGAACCATTGTTGAAGACTCAAGATCATGAGCCCACACGAGCGAAGATAGGTTGAAGTCGCCCAAAACACATATATATTGGCCATCTTCCAGCTCCTGGTATAGGTGGGCAATGTTGTCCACATGCGCTTTATATAAATCAAAACTGCTGCTTGGGGGTATGTATGATACTGTCAGGAAAATTGTTTCCGTAGGACCAGCGAGAGATACACAGAGTTGGTCGAGCAGAGAATCCTTGTTCTGGAGACGAATAGCAATGCAAGCAGCTCACGCCGCACAGCAATTAAAACTCCGCCACCTCTGGAGCATCGTGTTTTAACGGAATCTCGATCCTTACGGAACACATGATAAAGATTTGTATCAAAAAATTCATTATCGAAGAAATCCATATTGAGCCAGGTTTCAACAAAAATGATGACGTCATGATCACCATGAGACGTTGCATGGAAAAGGGATTGAGCTTTCGTACGCATACCACCGATATTTTGAAAATAAATATTGAAATTTGTATTGTTAGCGCATATCCGGTCATCCATGGTCATGCTATCAATAACTGGTCCAGCATCATGGTCCGAATCCATAAGAGGCCTCGCTGGGATCTTATCATAATTTATGAAATTATTTGTAAGAACCTTAAGTAAAGTAGTGGTACGGATACGAATAGGCTGGTGATCGCGCTCCAAATATTAGGTGGGCAGTCAATATTAGCATTCAAAATATAACTGCACGCAGGTGAATCCACACCTGGTAATAAAGAGCGAGAACGTACTACAGCAGCCGCAGTCCATTGTTGTTGTTGATGGCGAAAGCATCTCCAGAGAGCACCTTCAGAGAGAGCACTCTGAGAGGCTCGCCATCCAGCCAAATGTGTCGATAAAAGTTGTTGTAGAAAGTCGAACGTCAGAAAGGTAGAGACGGAGAGCGCATAAGTATTAGGCGATGAAGAGTAAGAATCCAGCCGACTATCTAGGTACTTCGGGAGAGAGGCGCAAGATGATGACAGCGCAACTCCGAGGAGCGCACCGATATTAGAGCCAGGCGGACGGCGAAAGTCGCGAGCAGCGGACCACAAAAGCTCCAGCTGGTGTTGTTGATGGTGCAACGGGAGAGAGCGCAACTCCGAGGAGCGCGCCGATATTAGAACCAGGCGGACAGCGAATGTCGCGCAAAGCAAACAACAAAAGCTCCGGCTGGTGTTGTTGATGAAGCATCAGGAGAGCAACGAATAATGATGTGCGCGCAACTCCGAGGAGCGCGCCGAAATCCGAGCCAGGCGGACGGCGAATGTTGTTACGAACTGCTTTTTTCGGTGGCAGTGCCGCTAGCTCAGTCGTCTTCAGGGCAGAGTACCCCTAATGCTACAGCTCGCAACATAAGTATCGATAACTTCGCGGTCTCACTTTACTAATCTATCGGTCATCACTAAGGACAAAACGTAAACAAAGCAAAAATCTACAAATATTGACAGGAAAATGGATTACATTTGGTGGCTATCGGTGACCTAGCCAAGCGCTCCCACCCAACCATGGATGCCCTCAAGATGCTGCAGGGCACCACCCATTCGCAGTCGGCAGGAGCCCCCTCCTCGCGACTACGGCTACGGTTCCATCTCCCCCACTGGGTAAGCTTATTCACACATAGTGGGTATTACAAAGGTTTAATAAATATCATAAGTACAATCGTATATATACATGCTTCTTTTGACAGATTTATCCTTCCTCAGCCTTCAAGACCGAAACCTGGCCGCCGTCTCGGATATTTACGCGGTCAAAGCAGAGGATTCGTTTTGCTGGAAAAGGGTACAGGCGCCGCGGAAACTATGCTCTACCAGCCATGTATTGGTAGAGCTCGCATGGAAACGCGGCCCTCAAAGGAACATGAGCGATGCGCGTGTGTATGGTCACCTCATCCTGAGGAGCTCCAGGGGAAAAGAAGGGACAGGCCAAAAAGGTACGTAACTGCACTGTAATCTATACCATTTAACTAATGCTCGCGACCTTTTTAATTTTAGGCAAACAACGAGGACGAATAAGGCTCTCGGGTCTAACTCCGGATAAACTCACAAACAGGTAAGTAGATATCAATATATATAATCGAGGTACACGTGTATTTAATTTCTCGTAAATTTCAGCCACCGTCGGGCCTGGAGGCGATGATACCCCGGGCGGATGACTTTCCGCCGGCGGCCAGCAGCGATACGGATCTCCACACGGGAAAACGGCGCTCTCCGGTGAGTGGTGCACTGAGATTCGGCTGCCAGACAAAATGGAGATACTTATCAGCGCCGCAATGCGACCGCTGGAAGTTCGCGAGAGGATGAGGACGCGGTACGCCGGAACGGAGTCACCGGGAAATGTTGACGTCGTCGGCGTCGATTGTGGAAGGCTTTCCTGGCTGGTCGCTGGCACGGGTCGAACGGACACCGGTTGCTTGGCAGCCAAGTCGGGCTGGTAGGTATGGCGAAGTATGGCGATGTCGGTAAAACTCCAAATAAATTCTTCCGGGGCCCTTTGTATTGGGACCCCGGCTGCCTTTATAAATGATAAATATTAAATACCGAACTACTCTAGAACTTTCACATAACTCACTATTTAATTTAAGGCACAAAGAAAATTTATACTAGCACTCCTAGCTGCATCTGCCTTGATTGCTGGACAGTATGGCCGCGACTATCACGATATCTGCTGATCATCGCCCCCCGCCATATTACATGGCCTCTCATTGGATACATGGGCCATTTGAAGTAACCCCAGAGCGAACCGGGATTAATCTTCAAATGGCCAGATCGCCCGCCAGACTCATCCCGCTGCTGCAGCTATCGCCCTATCGACCTAAACTATCGATAACGTCGCTCCCACTCGACTCCAATTGCAACATCAACCAAAGATTACGAGGGGCGCTGCCCGGAGTTTCAGCAGAACGATGAAATAATTGGTAGCTTTGGAGATACGATGGGATTCAACACGGCACTGATACCATCCTGCAGTTCGATCGGCGCCTAACGCGGGGCCCACGCATGACGGGAAGTATTGCAGATGTGATCGCGATGCTAGTATACTTTGTTTTGTCCTTCTTTCAGGTCACAACCGGATGTCTTTGGCGTGATACACTCCCAGACTGCGGCCTTGGAGATCCTCCAGCAGGTATGCATTGCTGCCGACGGATTTGACCACCCTGGCTTTAAGGAACTTGCGAGCAAACTTGGCGTTAATAGATTTGCTGAAATCACTCAGCACGAAGTTGCGGCGGAAGACTTCTTGGCGTGGCTCGCTTATCGTAGCGCTGCCGGCTCGTCTGGTATGCACCCTCCAGTTGCTTCTGCACCTTGGCGTGGATAACCCGAAGTTTGTCCTTGGTCTGCATTCCGGCCATTTCATGGTCGACCAGAGACCTGAGTCGTCTGGCTAGTTTGTAGCTGGACCCGTTGAGGAACATGTGATGGCCGAATACAGTGAAGAACGGCGCTTCCCCTGTGGCTGAGTGGACAGTGTTTCGGATGGCCACCTCAATCTCCGGCAAATGTGCATCCCATTCCCGGTGATCTTCGTCCAAGAAGCTGCGAATTGCGGCCAAGACGTTTCGGTTTACCCTCTCCGCGGCATTGCTCTGTGGTGAGTATACGGGAGTCCTCATGTGCTGTACACCGAAGCCATCGATCATCTCCTCAAACGCCTTGGATACGAACTGTTTGCCGTTGTCCGAATGTATCGTCTCAGGCACCCCGAACTTGTAAAATACCTCGTTTACCAGGACATTTACAACGTTCGACGCCGTCGCCTCCTTCATCGCCTTTAAGAAGGTGTACTTCGAGAAGTGGTCCACCACGATAAATATCCAGGCGTGTCCACTCTTGGACCTCGGATACTTGCCCAGGAAGTCGATGTACAGTTTCTGGAATGGCCCCTCCGTCTCTACTCTTCTTCCGATTCCGACCTGCATCCGGAAGTTTGGCGCTTTGGATTCCTTGCACACATCGCAACTCCGGACGTATTCCCGTACCTGGATGGTCATCCCTGGCCAATAGAACTGGCGTCGCAGGATCTCCAAGGTCTTCGTCATCCCACCATGCCCAGCCTTGGGGTCCGAATGAGCACGCTCTACCAAGCTGTGCGTCAGGCTTTGCGGGATCCACAGCTTCCATTCGGATCCTTCCAATTCCTCGTCCATTTTGGGGTTACCCATGCGCTTAAAGATGAGTCCGCCATCCACCTTGAGGTCCGGTAAGTGTTCCCTGTTGGACTCCACGTCTTGCACTAATTCCTTATAGTCCTCCGCAGCAAATTCGGTCGTCTCGAATCCCAGTAACTCCGTTGGATCTATCCGGACTTCCTCGATGATGCGGGCGACTACGTTCTCGCTGCCTTTGCGATGTTCGATGCTGAAATCGTAGCCCTGCAGCTGGAGAGACCACCTTGCGAGTCGTCCGGAAAGATCCTTCATTGTCATCAACCACTTAAGGCTGGCGTGATCGGTAATGCATGTGAAGGGCATCCCTTCCACATACGGTCTGAACTTCCGAATAGCTAGGATGGCCGCCAGGCATTCCTTTTCCGTGACCGAGTAGTTAACCTGGTGTTTGTTCATCTTGGCCGAGAAGAACGCGATGGGCTGCTCGTCTCCGTCCTGGTTCCGCTGAAACAATACCGCGCCGACGCCAACGTGGGATGCGTCGCACTGGATGAAGAAATGCTTCTTGAAATCCGCATGAACCAGGACCGGCGCACTCGTCAAGGCCAACTTCAGGTCATCCACTGCCTGGGTGGCGCTGAGACTTAGGGAAAACTTTGTGTTTCCAGCCTTCTTCAAGGACTCGGAGAGTGGTGCGGCTAGCGTAGCGAAGTTCTTGACGAACCGTCGATACCATCCCGCTGTGCCGAGGAAGGCACGTACTTCCTTCATGGATTTCGGGTAAGGCATCTTCTGGATTGCCGTAACACGTCCAGGATCCATCCGCAGCAGTCCACCTCCGACTATAAACCCTAGGTAAGTCAAAGATTTGAAGCAAAACTTCGACTTCTTTAACCGTATGGTCAATCCGGCTGATTTCAGACTGTGGGCTACCCGACGCAAGCCTCTCATCCTCCCGTAGGTATCTTAATAAATACTTATTGCTATTAGATGGACTATGTACTTTCTTTTCTTCTTCTTCTTTCTTCGGAACTACTTCGCGGGATTCCAACCTGGGCGAGTCCCTCCCGCTTTCGGACTGCCCAGCCGACCGTTTTCCGCGCAATCGGGACATTTCGTAGAAATGACGCCCGGCTTGCCGCACCGGAAACAAAATCTCCTCCACTCCGTGGCCTCGCAATCTTGGAATCCGTGCTCAGCCGCCCCGCAATTCCAGCAACCTGGCCTAAATGTATATCGGACTCGCCCACGTAGCTCGTCCACCTCCAGGTGTCGGTGCTCGTCGACTTCGTCCTGTACGTGCGCCTCGCTGACCCGTACCTTGTTCTGCTGCAGGTAAGCAGCACGCCCTCGACGACCGAAACTCCTCTCCACTTCGACGCACTCCTCCCGAAGTTCGTCTACCGTGAGTACGTCCATCGTGTAAACATACCTAGCGATGCCGTCCCCCAAGCCCTTTTTGACCACCTTCACCAACTGCCGCTCTGGCATTGGTTTTTTCAGGCGTGAGGCGAGTTGCTGCATCGAATGGATGTAATCATCCGCGCTCTCTCCCGGCTGTTGCTCACGTTGAAGAAGCTCGTGCATCCTTTCGTGTTCCGTCTGGTGGCCACGGAACCGATCCATCAGAGGCCTGCGCAGCTGGGCCCAAGTGTCCACTCTGGACTGGCGTACATGTACCCAGTACCACTCCTTCGCTCTGCCCGATAAGAGTACGTGGAAGTTGCGCAGAACTTCACTCCACGGACATTGATGCTGCCGCTGCAGGAACTCTAGACGGAACACGAAGTCGTCCACGGAATGGCCATCGTCCTCGCCGCCGAATGAGAGGTTCCAGCGGTCCACTCGGATGTAGCGGTTTCCGTTGCCGGCTCCCGCGTTGGCGTATAACCGCGGCTCGTCCCGAAAATCCGCCGTCCTTCGGTCCTCAATGCGCCATGGCCCTGCGTGGCGATCGCTCCTGCCTGCCGGATGATACTCCGGTTCCTGGCTCAGGCTGCTGTCGATCCCTGGCGAGTCATTTACCGGCAGTCGAGGTCGCTGCCTGGGCGGCAATTCCGACGGCCTTCGGTAGCATCCTTCCGTATCCTGCCGCTGCTGAATCTCCGCTGGGCCATTTGCGCCGCCTTCTGGACACGACGGGTTGGGCACCATCGACACTTGGCGACTCGCACCCTCCTGGAGCGGCTGCGGTTTGTTCTCGGCTGGCCTCAGGACGTCGTTCAACAACTTCATCATGTCGATGAATCCGTTCTTTATTTCTTCCCGCAACGCCTGGCTCACTCCTAACTCCTGTGATGCGCGATAGGTTTGGGCAGCCTGTGCCAGAGCTGCGTTCATCGCAGACTCCGCCGCAGTATCCCGTTCCGTGTTCGGCTTTTGTGGACCCGGCTGCTCCGGAACCAGATGCTGATCCTGCGCCTCGAAGATTGCCTTGAAGTCCAGGACCCTGGGCGACCGATGGTGCTCCAGATCCGCCGGTTGATCCCGAATCCGATCCACCGCACTACCGCCTACCGGCGTTCTGGGTAAACCCCAGCCAGCGATATCCGCGGCAACCCAGCAGCACCCTCTACGTCCGTGGACCAGACATCGTCCTTGTCGTCGCCAGGAGGACCCATCGATCTGAGCTGGTGGCCGTGCCTATCCCTGGCGTCCTTACTTTCGGACATACCTCCCAAGAAATTTTAAATAAATACTTAATAACTACTAATACGTTGATAAATGTGATAAATAAATAAATAAATAAGACAACAAATAAATACAATAATAAATATTAAATATCAAAATAAATACGAAAATAGCTAACAGCAAAAATAAATAACAATAACCAAATATTCCTCACTTTCCAACACCTTTGAAAATCTCCTAAATTTCTTTATTATATTTTTCTTCCTCTACTCTTGATTTGGGGAGATGGAACTGACCCTCGCCGGTGGGCTTCCGACCTAACTGTCTTGCGCTTCTTTCAAAAATCCTATTTTCCCGTCTCCGCCTAGCCGTTCGTCAACTGGACTAGCTATCACCCGTGGTGATAGCCGCCAGTTAAGGACATCGGCTCGGTTTGGCTCCTGTTTACTTTTCTTTCCCGCCCTCTTTATACCCGTTACTCGTAGAGTAAAAGGGTATACTATATTCGTCGGAAAGTATGTAACAGGCAGAAGGAAGCGTTTCCGACCCCACAAAGTATATATATTCTTGATCAGGATCACTAGCCGAGTCGATCTAGCCATGTCCGTCTGTCCGTCTGTCCGTCTGTCTGTCCGTCCGGATGAACGCTGAGATCTCGGAAACTATGGGAGCTAGGCTATTGAGATTTGGCGTGCAGATTCCTGAGCTTCTTACGCAGCGCAAGTTTGTTTCAGCACAGTGCCACGCCCACTCTAACGCCCACAAACCGCCCAAAACTGTGGCTCCTACAGTTTTAATGCTAGAATAAAAATTTTAACTGAAATGTATTGTTCTCATCAATACCTATCGATTGACCCAAAAAAAAGTTTGCCACGCCCACTTTAACGCCCACAAACCGCGAAAACCTGTGACGCCCACAATTTTCATGCTAGATAACTGAAATGTATTGGTCTTGTCGATACCTATCGATTGATCCAAAAAAAAATTTGCCACGCCCACTCTAACGCCCATAACGCTTAAATCTGTATACCGCCGGTAGGTGGCGCATTTTAATCTCGCTTTGCTGCTTCCATATCTCCATTTAGCTGAGTAACGGGTATCTGATAGTCGAGGTACTCGACTATAGCGTTCTTCCTTGTTTTCTATTTCAAATCGAGGTAACCGTGCAGCGCGTAGGGTTGCTACGGGTCACGATTACGCAATTAAGTTCACAACCGACATAAAATAAGAAGTCCAGGACGGGGAGAAAAACCCAGGAACACCACATCCTAACAAAAAAACATTTCAAATAAATAAATAACAAAAATACAAGCCTTAAAACTACTCTATCACAGAAATTATCACACATTCTCTTCAGTGCATCCCGTGACGCAAATCTTGGTTTGCCTCAAGATGCCATTACCGATTCACTGGTAAACCTGTGACCAGGAGCAAATCGTCGGCAATGTCGACGTGCCTCCCGTTCTTCTTCCAACTTCCCTACTCAGCTGACTTCCCCGTCACCACTCCCTAGCAATTGCAATCTATGTTACAAGCCATAGGTCGTGATGGCGGGGGCGTCAGGGTTATAAATGGGCGAGACGTCGTCGCCTCGACAATTTATTTTGTTTAAATTGGGCGCCAATATGTTACGAACTGCTTTTTTCGGTGGCAGTGCCGCTAGCTCAGTCGTCTTCAGGGCAGAGTACCCCTAATGCCACAGCTCGCAACATAAGTATCGATAACTTCACGGTCTCACTTTACTAATCTATCGGTCATCACTAAGGACAAAACGTAAACAAAGCAAAAATCTACAAATATTGACGGGAAAATGGATTACATTTGGTGGCTATCGGTGACCTAGCCAAGCGCTCCCACCCAACCATGGATGGGTATTACAAAGGTTTAATAAATATCATAAGTACAATCGTATATATACATGCTTCTTTTGACAGATTTATCCTTCCTCAGCCTTCAAGACCGAAACCTGGCCGCCGTCTCGGTTATTTACGCGGCCAAAGCAGAGGATTCGTTTTGCTGGAAAAGGGTACAGGCGCCGCGGAAACTATGCTCTACCAGCCATGTATTGGTAGAGCTCGCATGGAAACGCGGCCCTCAAAGGAACATGCGCGATGCGCGTGTGTATGGTCACCTCATCCTGAGGAGCTCCAGGGGAAAAGAAGGGACAGGCCAAAAAGGTACGTAACTGCACTGTAATCTATACCATTTAACTAATGCTCGCGACCTTTTTAATTTTAGGCAAACAACGAGGACGAATAAGGCTCTCGGGTCTAACTCCGGATAAACTCACAAACAGGTAAGTAGATATCAATATATATAATCGAGGTACACGTGTATTTAATTTCTCGTAAATTTCAGCCACCGTCGGGCCTGGAGGCGATGATACCCCGGGCGGATGACTTTCCGCCGGCGGCCAGCAGCGATACGGATCTCCACACGGGAAAACGGCGCTCTCCGGTAAGTGGTGCACGGGCAGTCCGAGATTCGGCTGCCAGACAAAATGGCGATACTTCTCAGCGCCGCAATGCGACCGCTGGAAGTTCGCGAGAGGATGAGGACGCGGTACGCCGGAACGGACTCACCGGGAAATTTTGACGTCGTCGGCGTCGATTGTGGAAGGCTTTCCTGGCTGGTCGCTGGCACGGGTCGAACGGACACCGGTTGCTGGGCAGCCAAGTCGGGCTGGTAGGTATGGCGAAGTATGGCGATGTCGGTAAAACTCCAAATAAATTCTTCCGGGGCCCTTTGTATTGGGACCCCGGCTTCCTTTATAAATGATAAATATTAAATACCGAACTACTCTAGAACTTTCACATAACTCACTATTTAATTTAAGGCACAAAGAAAATGTATACTAGCACTCCTAGCTGCATCTGCCTTGATTGCTGGACAGTATGGCCGCGACTATCACGATATCTGCTGATCATCGCCCCCCGCCATTTTACATGGCCTCTCTCGACATTGGGTCATTGGATACATGGGCCATTTGAAGTAATCCCAGAGCGAACCGGGATTAATCTTCAAATGGCCAGATCGCCCGCCAGACTCATCCCGCTGCTGCAGCTATCGCCCTATCGACGTAAACTATCGATAACGTCGCTCCCACTCGACTCCAATTGCAACAATGTCGCACAAAGTGGACAACAAAAGCTCCGGCTGATGTTGTCGATGGTGCGTTAGGAGAGAGTCAGAAGATGAAGAGAGCGCAGTGAGAAAGGCAAGCAGCTGCCGATGTTGTTGCGAAAACGACTCCGACAAATGAGGAAAGGCTTGCAGACGATGTCCCGCAAAAGTATCGACGCCAGTGGCGTCGAACACTAGGGGTTTTTTGATGGCTGAATTGATGATGAAGTTTGTCCAGGCTCCGGCAAATTAGATAAGATTCCATCCCCTACTACAATGGCCCGTTCTCTACGAAGAAATCTTTTGACCTTAACTGAGTTCGGCCAGAAATCGTTTTTGAAGACTTTATCGTAAAGCTAATCGGGGATTCCAAGCTTGAAATTTACAAACTTTAAAGTTGTAACGTCAACATCTTTTTTTACAAGTTTTACACAAGTGAGAGTGGGGAGCTGCAGCTACGTTGGTAGGTCTCGGTAGACGAGGCTTGCAACTTACATTTTGATTCAATGCAACATCTTTAGGGGGGAACGCCTCCAAGAATTTGTTATGAAGGCCCTGGTATATGCGCTCCAGGACTTTCAATTTATCATCGAATTCATCGATTTTAGAATGCGAATCATTCGCAACCACACAGCTATTACATTGCCACAGTATATTTGGATTTAATAAGAGTTTGAGCACATCGTCCGGTAGGGCAACGCAAGAAGTATGATAGGCGCGACGGCACAAAGAAGAGCAGCGAACAGCGTCCGAAGCGCGAAGCTGGACCACTGTAACATCGGTTTTGCACTCGGGACAGCGGGGAAGTAACATAGCGAAAATTTTAAGCACGTCTAAACGCAATGAAAGCTAGATGACGACTGGGAAATTAGACTATGTTTCCCCTGGCAGCCCCACATACTGGCCAACAGACCCCAGGAAAGTTCCAGACCTAAAAGACTTTGCGGTGACAAAAAACATTCCCCGCAATATAATAAGTGCCAAAGCGATTTCGGACCTGTCGTCAGACGATTCGCCAGTGCTAATAACTCTTCTTCAAAGCACAAAAACCACAGATCACCCCCTCAGGCTGACGTCGCACAGAACTGGTTAAAATATAAAAAGTATGTAAGCTCACACATCAAATTAACCCCTCACTTCAACATCAAAGCGGACATCGACTGCTCTACCGATGCTCTTGAAGAAGTATTCGTGGAGGCAGCCACTATCTCAACACCACAAGGCAGGGACGTGGAAACCAACCACTTCAAAACTAATCTGCAAATTGAACGGTTAGTCCTAGAAAAGAGGCGCCTGCGACGTGGCAAACCAACAGATCGCCGTCATCAAAACAACGTCTTAAGGAAGCCACTCGCTCACTGAATCGAGCTCTAAAGCAAGAAACAGAGAATGCACAGCTGCAGTACATTAAAAAACTATCGCCAACCAGTTCAAAACATCCTCTGTGAAGGGCTCACCCCCCCCCTTTTGCACAACATCAGTCATATGACTGTGAGTTAGATTAATTAGTCTAAGATTTGATACACTTATTGTTAGTATCCAAAGGGAGAAGATTCAATAAATAAATAGCAAAGCATTTAAAAAAAAAAAATATATATCTTTTGGGGTTTGTGGGCGGTTTGTGGGCGTTCAAGTGGGCGTGGCAAGCTTTTTGGTTAGAATGTGAACCTAATTGTAGTACTGTTGAGGATAAACCAGTCATAATACCGGAACAACAAGAAATGGCTATCACACCAATTGAATTCCTAAAATTAGACTCATCACTCATACCAGATTTTGATGGTAAGTCCCTGAAGGAATCGCATGAAGCTCTAGCAGTTAAACTGATCAAGACTAAGATAAAAGGCCATGCAAGAAACTTAATAGACAATGAGAATTCAATCTCAGAAATAATAGAAAAACTAAAAAATAAAGTTAAGGGAGAATCAGTAGATGTCATTTCGGCAAAACTATTAAATCTCCAACAGAGACATAAAACAGCCAATCGATACATTCAAGAAGTAGAGAGTTTGACAAAGGCACTAGAAGGAGGCTACATAAATGACGGACTGTCCTCAGAACCAGCCACTCAGTACAGCAAAACACATGCCGTCAAGGCAATGACTTAGAACTGTAAAATCGATAAGATTAAACTTATCATGGAGGCTGGCACATTTAACACATTGGATAATGCCATGTCCAAATTCGAAAACAGTTGTACAGATGCAACAGGCCAATCAAACACCGTCCTGTTTTACAATACAAGCAGCCGTGGAAATTACCGTGGATACTATAACAATAATAGTGGATACTATAACAATAATAGAGGACGAGGCCAAAATAGAGGAAGTTATAGAGGAAATAACCAATAATATTGAGGTTATAACTATAACAATAATAGCAGAAACAAGCAGAAATAGCCCAAAACGCTTCGGGAAACTCCCAACAACCTTTCGATACCCAGCAATAGGAACCACAAAAATTCACACAAAAATATATTTGTAACTTTCAAAAATGTCCCAACCGACAGATCTTGTATTTCTAATAGACACTGGTGCAGACATATCGATACTTAAAGAAAATTCAGATGTTTTTCCTGACATTCAATCCGACTATGTAATAAACATACAAGGAATCAGTCAAGAAAACACAAAATCTATAGGACAAATATCCATTGAGATACAGACTACTAAATATATAATCCTACACAATTTTCATATTGAAAATTTACAATTCGCCATTCCCTTTGGTGGAATATTAGGAATTGACTTTATCAAAAAATACAACTGTCAGTTAGACTTCAAGCCATCAGAATATTGGCTTATAATTAGACAAAATAACTTAAAATTCCCAGTTTATGTTTCAATAACATACAGCTCTGGCAATAACTCCATAATTCTGCCAGCAGAATCCCAAGTTATCTGAAAAATTCAAATAGATTCAATAGAAGACAGTGTGTTGATTCCAAATCAAAAAAAAAAAACGTTGAGATTGAGATTGAGCTGAGATTGAAGGATGACGAACCGGTTTATATCAAGATCTACAGAAGTCCTCACAGTCAAAAGGACGAAATTCAAGCCCAAGTACAAAAATTAATAAAGATAAAATTGTGAAACCATCTGTATCAGCATATAACAGCCCACTCTTATTAGTTCCGAAAAAGTCCATTCCGGGCCCAGATAAAAAGAAATTGCGATTAGTAATTGACTATCGTCAGATCAATAAAAAACTATTATCTGATAAGTTCCCCCTACCTAGAATTGATGACATTTTAGACCATTTAGGAAGAGCAAAACTGTTTCATGTCTCGACTTAATGTCAGGTTTTCACCAAATCGAGCTTGAAAAAAGCCCAACAGACATGATGTCCTTCTCAACAAGCAATGGTTGGTATCGCTTCACGCGATTACCACACGATTAAAAATAGCGCCAAACTCTTTTCAGAGAATGATGACTATAGCATTCTCTGGACTAGATCCTTCTCAAGCATTCCTTTACATGGATGATTTGAAGGTCATTGGTTGTTCCGAAAAACATATGCTTAAAAACTTACCTGATGTTTTTGAGAAATGTAGGAAATACAACCTCAAGTTATCACAGCCCTCTTACGTACCTATTTTCCATGATAAATCCGAGTTCCAAACTCACTCGAATAAGGTGTGAATTAGAAGAGTACATCCTCACTGTAGAGCATCTTAAGGGTAAGGACAATTATGTAGCAGATGCGTTATCGAGAATAACCATCGAAGAGCTAAAAGACATTACCAGAAATATAAATAAAGTCACTGCAAGATATTAAAGTAGACAGAAATCCTGCGCAGGAGAAAAAGAAACAAAGTTGCTTAGGCAATCTATTTTAGTAAATCTGAAAGTAACTTTATAGGTAACTTTATACACTCTCTTTTTGGGAGTAAACTTCATCCACTTTTGTTTTATTAAAGTTTATATTTTATTAAATCCATCGCCAATTGGTAGACATTATTTTGCATCCTCTTTAGTTGTTGTTCACTAAAAGGACTTTCGGTTTTGTTGTTTTGTTTTAGAGCAGAAGCGACTTTTTCGCTCGCTCCTAACTTGTTTTATTTGATCAGCACACCACCACCAGACAGTTGGAACAGTAGAAAGAAGTCACAGAACATTTAACAAGTACATAGTATCGATTGATAAAAATGATTGGGACGTATGGTTAAAATATTTCGTATACTGCTTCAACACCACACCCTCAATGGCACATGATTACTGTCCATATGAGTTAGTTCTTGGCAAACCATCGAATTTGCCAAAACAATTTAATTCCATCAAAAACATAGAGCCTATATATAACATAGATGATTATGGTAGAGAGAGTAAATATAGATTAGGCATAGCACATAAAAGATCTAAAATTATGTTACAGGAAAATAAGAGAAAAAACAAAGAATTTTATGACCTTACGGCTAATGACATAGATATATCTATAGGAGATAAAGTTTTATTGAAAAAATGAAACAAAGCATAAGCTAGATTCTAAATATACTGGACCATATACTGTAGAAAGTTTAGAAGATAACGAAAATATAATTATTTCAAACAATAAAAATAAGAAACAAACCGTACATAAAGATAGATTAAAAACGATTATTTCATAATCAGTTCTTTACTCTTACAAATATTTCAAGTATGGCCATACACAGAAG